GCGGCCTTGGGTACGGTGGCCCTGAAGGTGGCCAAGCTGGAAGATGAAGGGCTGAAACGCCTGTCCCAGGCGATGAGTGTGGGTCGTATGTGGCCGAAAGACTGTTTCAAGCTCTGGTTGGAAACAAGGCCACTGCACTTAATGGAGCTTTTCCCAATTTCACAGCCTTGAAAAAGGAGTAGTGAAGCCCACCCTCTAGCAGAGTATTGCTATCCTTTGGGCAGCAGAACCAGTATATACACTAATATACAGTGCATTACAGTATGTTCTCATTGCGTCCGCCTGGCGGGGTGCCTAAAATAAGCGAAGACGAATCCGAAAGACAGGACCACCTTGGAGCAGGTCAAGGTGATGGAGAAGTGGCCAAATAACTTTTTCACCAACTGCAACCCAGAGAAGACATGACATAAGTTTTTAAGTTGCTTGGTTTGGAACCAACGGGCCCCTCCGACTAAATCCTGTCCACCTATTAAAAACCATCCAGAAAAAACACGCCCCCCCCCCCTAATAAGGAAACCTCGGTCGCTTTTTTTAATAGGGTGTCCCTGAAATCGGGGGGTCCAAACTAGGGTCACCTGGGAAGAGCTTCAAAACCAAAAAGTCATGCAGGAAAAATTATATACACTCCTTTATTAAACTCATATCAAAAATTCAAAAAAAACTCCAGATCGAAGGGTTTTCCTTTTTCCTCTACAAAAACTTTTTGTTAGAATAGTGATTCTTCATTGTAGACTAACAACTTATATAAAACTTTCGAAAGGTGATGTCGCTGTGCCATGCGGTTTTGCGTGACTTCGGTGGCAAGTGCGTTTGTGTGAGTCCATGCCAGTGGGGTGTAAACGCGGCGCGTCATGGTGGATGGACAGGGCGGACAGAGGTGGGCAGTCACGGTATTTTTTGGAACCTAATAATATCGGCAATGTTTGTAGCGGCTTGAAAGGGCGGTAATTTAAAAACAAATATACGCCGTACTTAGGGGTATATATCTACACTGCACATCACATATTATCTTCAGCGCGAAAGGGCGTAAAAACTAAAACATTCGACAGATGCAGAGACTGTATGAAGCCCTTGCAAATGATACGCTAATGGTCCTAGATCCTTTGACCGTACCACTAACTTGGTCCCTTCAAGGGGGACGCCCGGTCAGCTTCACTCTATTCAGGCCTCACCAAACTGGACAACGCGCGAAGCTGTCGTCCATCCACCCCGCCGGACGTAGCGGAAAAAAGTGCTGGAACACGTGACGATAGTCGTGCGCCACATATACATATCTACCTACATACATAGATAAATACACACATGCACACATATGCACATATATGTAATATACACAAGTGCATGGCTATCAATGCATGGGTTGACAAGCTCCTTCTAAACAACAAGCTTTCACAAGATACGGACAATGTCATTCCCAATCATGTAAGGCCTGGGCAGAAGCTTCTCCGGGCCCGCGCGTGCGTGCATAAAAGAGGTTTTTGGAGGCTGCCCGACGCGCGGGCATGCAGACCCAAAAGAGTCGGCCTCCTATCCTATAAGGTATCATCAGTCATGTGTCATCTCAAGTCTGCGCGTCATCAGCCTCTAATCAGTCGTCACCCAATGTGTCGTCGCAATGTGTCGTCACAGCCTCTAATCGGTCGTCAGCTAATGTGTCATCGCACGTCAGAGTCTGCGCGTCATCAGCCTCCAATCAGTCGTCAAGCAATGTGTCGTCGCAATGTGTCGTCACAGTCTGCGCATCGTCAGCCTCTAATCGGTCGTCAGAGAATGTATGAGAATGTGTCGTCACAATGTGTCGTCACAACCTTCGCGTCGTCAGCCTCCAATGATGTCAGGAAGTGTGTCGTCGCAATGTGTCGTCACAGTCTACGCGTCGTCAGCCGCTAATGCGTCGTCGGGGAATGTGTTTTCACCACAGGGAACGAATCAGTCGTCATAATCAGTCTTCAGCGTCAGCCCAAATAAGCACCCCCGTGGGCGGACGCTCTGTATTTTATCATTGTGTTTTTTTATATATTACAAGTTTTTTCTTTTAGTACAATATATAAGCCCTCTGTTTTTAACCCCACGATTCCAGCTGGTCGACAGATATAGGAGCTGGATGAGTTGGAAGCACGCTGTGCACTGGCACAAGAGCGGCAAGTGCGCGAGTGTCGCTTGGCCGCCCAATGTGAAGCACACGTCGTGGAGTCGCAGATGAAGGCACCGATGCAGTCGGGCGATGCGCGACAAGTGACGAATGGAGGGCGCGACGAATTTACGTCCGGATTGAGGGGGATTGTTGGAAAGACGGTGTGTTTGTTTTTATTGGGAGGGTATGGGGTGAGGATTGGGGGATTGCAAAATGTGTTGTTCTTTTTGTTTCAAGGGCGATGACTGTTTTGTTTTTTGGATTGTGTATTCATGGGTTGATGGACGTTTGACGGGCTTTGGTGTAAGATTTATCGTTTGAAACGAGGCGACGCAGGTCAAGTGTGGGGCTAGGATGGAGCTTCTGAACAAACCACCGTAGACGGGAAATTCTGCAAATCCATAATGCCATGTTGGACAACTCTTGCCTCTTGCACGCATGATACGTAGTACCGTAGAACTAACATGATAAAATTGGGTTGAAACAGTGACAACCAATGATCATTTCCTCAAGAATCTTCCTTCATCAGGGCAGACTCCACCAAGGGGTTCAATACTGGAGGACTCATCCACCGGTCGCTTGCTGCGGCCAGGTAGCTGTGTTTTGTTTCTACATACTGTGCCTATACTGTACCTGGGATGGTGCCATCAGAACTGGCCATGCCTGCCTGGCTCATCTTCATTTACTTCAGCTACCTGGCAGGTGGAGCTTCAAGCAGAGCGACAGGAGACGTGGCGGACGTGTTGCTGTTTACCGTTCACGAAATGGACAGAAGCCGGTTTTTAGAAGTGGACATCGGTAAGTTGTGGGTGGGTGGACCCTTGTTTGAAAAGAACACTGCTGCAACTTTTGAGAGAACAAACGGGTTGCTCATTGCGCTGCTCATGTGCATCATGAGTTTGGTATAAAATTTTCAGGTCGTGGGGAGCGACACCGACACCCAGCTCAAAACGACTCCGGCTGAACGACTGAGAAAAGATCGAAGGAAGGATTACATGACCGGTGGAGAACACACGGTGGACACCCAGCGGGTGGTGATCGAACGACCAGAGAGGGGAGAGCGTCGAGCGATGGAAGGAGCTCCGAAAGTTGGAAGAAGTGGTGGCTGAACAGGATTCTGGGCTGAAGTAGTGCTTGCCAAGGGAGCTACTTTCTGGATTTGCCAAACATCCTGGAGTAGATTCAATATGAGGCATCAGTGCAAGCATGTGTTAGATTGTCCAATCCCCACTTTGGCCCACTCCCGCTAAATGTCGGCCCCACAAAGGTACAGAAACTCTAGAGGTGTTTTTTTGGATGCTTCTAGTTTCTTCTGATAAATGGATATATATAGATGATATAAACGGCCCCGTTCCCCAACTATCCCCAGCTCCTGCGCTGAATGAAAAGAAGAGCGGCTGCTTTGTGAACGGTGTGCGGGAAAGCAAGCCCCAAATACTGCAGAGGGACTGTGACAGGTGGCCCAAATTGTTTTTGCAGGGAATGCTCTCAGATCACGAATAGGCTAGGGGTTTCTATGTCTATGTCTTCTTGTTCGTGCTTCTTTTTTGTTTGTTCTGTTCAGTCACTTGATGCTGTTCTTTTTTTGGTGGCAAGACTTCAGATGCACATGTAAACCTGAAAAATGAGACTGTCTCCATTCTGCCAAACACTAAAAGGAAATCAACACAATATATAACTAATGTAGTAAATATATGAGACCATCAAGTGGGGCAGAGGACATGCAGTTCTTCTCAACCATGGCCTTTTTAAGTCCGAGAGTGCAGGTCATTAGGATCCAGAGAGAAGCACGGACGCGAAAGGCAAAGGACAGATTGACACCTGAATACCATGACCTTGCGGCTCCGTCGACCTTTGCGGCTCCGTCGTCCGCTCCGTCTGCTGTCTGCGAGGAGCAGACCTCGCGGCGCCTGGAGCACCGACACGCCAAGCTCACCAAGGCGCTGCGGAAATCGCCTCTGCCGGCGGGGTGGTGCGCTGCAGAGGCCGCGGCGAGCGTGGAGCGCGAACGGTGCCCTTGGCACGAAAGTGGCGCACGGGGAAGTGGGTCGGGGGGAAGTGTTAGAGGCAAGTGGCGGCGTAGCGAATGTGCAAAACGATAATGATGACGATGGACTGGCTCATGGATGATTGATGATGATTGCATGGACTTCTATTAAATGTATGGTGTATATTCTTGTTGCCAGTTAGTACTTTGGATTTGATCATAGGTTTTATAAAGGTTTGCATACGAGAAGCTCTGGTTTCAAGGGTTCGAACATCGGAAGAGAACTGCAACACACACACAGGCGTACAGAAACCTGCAGAATCCTGAACCCCAAAACTTCCCGTGTCTCATTTTCTGGTCCTTGGCTTTTAAGGCAAGAGCTGCTGCAGACAGAGATCATGCTCGAGCAGGAGAAGAAATGTGCTGGGCGAGAAAAGACAAAAGGAGGAACAACATCGGAAGGGGAAAGCAAATACAGGACAATATCATAATCAAAAAAGAGCAAGGAGAGGATTTTGATGGCTGCTACAGCAGGAATATAATATGCACAGCTAACCTGCCCAGTTGTTCTGTTTTGCCAGAGTTCTTCAATTCTTAGAATCCAGGAGCACGAGGAGGAATGCGCGAAGCTCACCAGAGAGCTCCGGGCGCAAACAAATCACGAGGAACAGGTCTTCCCGGCATGGGTCGCGTCGTTTGTCCGATGGTAGAGATGGATGTTTGCGACTCTGGTGGTGACCCCCTGTGCTCCACGGAGGATTTGACTCCTCAATGTGAGGTCAAAACAATCAGATGATTGGATGATATTGGATGCACTATAGTAAATTGAGCAAAAATATAGTCACTACATATCACTGGCCAATCATTTCCTTTCGGATTCGATCATATGATCAGTCAATTCTCTTCAATATTATAGTATTTATGCAGTGACTTTCATTTACTCGATCCAGATCCCTGGAACAGCCTGGAACCGGCACCTTTTTGGCTTCTCGCAGCTGTTTCACCCACCATGGAGCTACAGCTGGTGCCATGGAGCCAGTGGGGCTCTCCCCTGCCGAGCACCACCCGCCACCCTCCGTCTCACACGAGGCGCACGTCGAGGCCGTTGGAGCGTCCGACCAGACTCGCCAGGGCCGGACTTGTGGGATTGATTCTGGCGGGTGGTACTCGAAAGTCTGAGCAGACCAGGCAGCGGCAGAGGGGGAGGATTCCATGTTGGGCGTATTCGGCGACCAGCTTCGCGACGTATTTACGCTCCGACTTTGCGGCTTGGATGGATCGACTCAAGAAGGAATGTCCAGATCATCCCTGGTGCCTCAAAGAAACCCAAGGCGGGTTGGCCGAAGTCTTCATTAAGCAAGGCTTGGTCGTTGAAGAGAGGTTGCTCCAGTGGTTTCGCACAGCACATCCAGAGTGGAGGATCCTGGACCTGAGCACGTGGACAGATGACTTGCATCGAAAGGAGCCGAACTGGCGTGAGATCGCGTCAAACCATACGCTTGAAGTGTTGGAACATGGAGAAGTGGATGTGATTTACCAGGCGCCCTTGTACCACGACAAGCTGGAGCTATTTGGCATCGCTGACTTTCTTCTTCGAAGGGGCAAGGAGTATGTGATCTGGGATACGAAGTTGTCAAAGCACCCGCAAGGCAAGGCCACAAGTGTGGGTGAGACGATGAACCTTTCCAGGTAGAGTGCTGCTACTACTCTCCATCTCTGAGAGGGTCTCCACCACTTCAAGCTAAGTAAGTACTATATAAATCAGAATAACCTCTGCCAAAACCAGTGTTGGCGCCTCTAATATGACTAGAAAACACCAATATATATCCCTCCTCAAAAGGCTCCATCTTCAGCCAAAGATCTCCTCTAAACAACCGATGTAGCTGGGCATAGCTGGCCTTTCCTCACCTTCCACAGGGGCATATCTGGCACAGCTTGCTTGCTATGCGGAAATTTTATGCTTCTTGATGTCTCTGGAGCCCGAAGCAGTGACCGTGGGCCTGGTCTTGGGGGAGAACGCTGAGCATGGAACAGCTGTGGCCTGGCCATCGACAAGAGCTGGTGGTTTCACCAGCATGGTGAAGAAGATTCGGCTATGATATGAATTGATATGATATGATCCACATCCATTGCTTTGAAGATTTTGAAGATCTTTGCGGTATGATTTGACCAAGAAATAGGAAGACATTATTGGGATGTTCCAGAACGTTGTTGGCGGACCTGTTCATCGAATTTTCCTTCAGCACCGTATTCTGACCCGATGCCCTTAGGGCTTGAGGCCTTAAGTTTTCACATCCATTGACCGAACCTTGGAAGGAGACTTCGAAGCACTCAAAAGCCTCCCAGAACCGCTCCCGATTTCATCGAATGGAGTGGAGTTGAGCTTTGTTCTTCTTTTACCACAAGAAGCTGTAAGTTGCAATATCCAACGTACATGAAATACCCTTCTATGGCAAAGAACCCGCAGTACACATGTAAGTCCAAAACGATTCGTACAACAACATGACACCTTCACCTCTGTGAGAAAAACACGACTCGATCGGCTCTGTTTGGAGCAATGCTGGCGGTGCGAAAACAACTTCATGGTTGATTCATTCCATGTTCTTCGGAAAAAGAGATCAAGAACCCACCATGTGGAGCTTCGGGGCTTCTCAGGTGGAGCTTCCTTTTTCTCAGATCCGTGACCACTTCCTTTCTGCTTGGTCGGCCTTTGGCCGCTTCCAGCAGCGCTGGACGCCGCCGCAGTCCACGGCCGACGGTCGCACGCGGCCGGGGGTGCCGGTCTCGGTGGTGTCTGGACGGTGGGAGGAGCTGTCCAAGCATTTGCTCAGCGAGGAGGAGGGTGACGGGGGTTGGAATGTCTTAAGAAAAGACACCTGAGGTGAAGAAAAGCACCATGCGGTTGGATGACGGACTATGGAGGGTAGAGTGATTTGCAAGATCAGGATCTTTGAGCCCTGTAACAATGTAATTGAACTTGTTCTCAATAGTATATCCAGAGATCTCTGAAAAATCACTGGACCCCCTAATTGATTCGCACCCATGTCAAGAATCAGCCCCTGAGGATGACTTGCTGTTGGTGGCTGGCATGAAGAGTAGCCAAAGGCGTGCTGGGATTTGCCCGGATAAAGGCTAAAGAGCCGACGGTTCAACGATTTCCAAAGGCGCTCTTGAAGGAGGCGATGATATAGGCTGCTTGAAGTCATCATTCACCCAATAGCGAAGCAAATGAGACATCGGTTGAACATTCTTTTCAGAGTCTTCACCTCACGTATTCGTTCCGAAGGAGGATTTGGTGGCCCTGTTCATTCATTTGGTTTTGCAAGCTGTTTCGCCCAAAAACACCAGCGGCATCCAGTGTCCCTTGGCAGATGGGACCTGACTTTGGGGCGCTGCCAGGCGGAAGCTGCGGCAGCTGGGCATCTCGACGCTGGAGCAACTGGCGCAGTGGCCCTCTCGGAAGCGCCCTGGGAGCAGAGCCTGGGAGCGTCGGATCAGAGCACGGGAGGAGGGGAGCACGGGAGCAGAGATCGGGAGCAGTGTGCTGCGAGCATCCACAAACCTGCTGCATGACAGATGAGATTTGGTGCCTGTCTCAGGTGGTGATTTAAACATATTTTCAAATCTTTAAAGGTATGTTTCTGCAGGAACTGTTAGACTTCGCTTGAAACTCTGTGCGTTTTGTCTAAACTGATGGTTGTTTTGGGGTCCATGTTCCAGAGTCAGGGGGTACTTAGATGCCTCCGACCACCCCCCAGTTTTCGACGACGGCTATGATTGGTTTCTGGGGTTCAAGTGGTGACGTGACCCTCAGTTTTGCTATTCGGAGAAACCCAAGTTCTGAGTGTTCAGGCTTCATGTGAGTTTTCAGGCAGCATTACTCACGGTGGGGCGAATGGTTTTGAGGCAGCTTGTCTTGTTGGTTGGTTGTTCTCCGCAGGGCTTTGGGATTGTCGATCTCACAGCCATCTCATCCAACTTCGCAAAATAGACACATATGGGACGCTTTAAATATGGCTGTGCCAATCAAGGCCCAACCAGACAGAAAAGGATTGAGGGTGTACCTTGTTTTGAGTCACATCTACAGATTTTGCTTGACATTTGCATGATGATCATGATGTCCTGTACTGTAACTTGTTTAATTGCATATTTTTACTTTTGATTATTGGTTCATCACAGGCTGCTCTCAACTGAGTCTTTCCTAACACTCCACCCCACTACCGACAGAAAAGGCAGGCTTCCCCGCAGGTGTTTTTTACGTGACGCGTCACATCGCACGAAGCTCGCACGATATCCTCGAGGCTCGAGACCCTACATGAATGTACTGGGATGCGCTTGTCCACTGTAGAGATGCTTCAAAGACAGGCCAAGCTACAGTAACTTGGTCAGAATACCTGTCAGAAAGAGCGGGTATAGTATGGCATAGTACTCTAAGTTCACCCAAAAGCCAAAATCCCCAAGTTTGTTTCGGAAGGCTTCACAAAGGATATTCTCTCTATAAAGCAGTGATTGTTTCACTTTTTTGCGATCCCCAACTTTTGGGAGGACCATCATCACATCTCCTGGGACGGTGGCCCCGAACGTTTGGAACTTGTGCCAACGACGCTAACCGGGACCCGGCGGCGTCCAGATTAGCGTCGCTGGCAGCAACCGTGTAGGGTGGGGTACTGAACAGGACTCCACGTTGACCTTCGTATGTTTGTGCATTGTGGATATAGTACGCTGATTATATGGTGGGCCAGTGGAAACATGAACAGATTCATCCTGCACACTGGTTGCAAGAGGCTTTGATGCTTTTGGGGCGGGGTTTTGTTTGGACTCCAAGGTATCGTTCGCGCTCTACCATCCGACCGGCCTCAGAAGTGCTGCCCAGTGTTGCTAAGACCTTGGCAAAGCTGCCAGAGGACCTTGCACAAACTGCTTTTTAGTTTTCGGAATGTAGGCACGTTGGAAGCCAATCGGTCACCAGCCCAACCATTCTCTTTGATCCGGACCCAGGCGGGTTTATTTCAACACATTGCAAAGAGTGGAGTCCTGGTGTAAGGAAACACCAGAATCATCGTATCGATGTTGCAACACGTTAGCGGATATATAGGTAGCCGCTAGCCTGTGTTCACAGACTGTCACAGACCATTGACAATACCCATTCTTTGGCACTTTCCTGAGCGTCCCAACCGGGCAGGGATGATTACAACGGGTTGCGCCAGTGTGTGGGATGGGCTGATCAATGGCTTAAGAGAGAGGAATTAAATGCTGGATTGTGCTCCCACATGCTATCAAGATCTATTAAGCATCAGTATACATCAATTGAGATTGACTCAAGCATATGCAAATCCACGCACATGCCAGGTCTTTGCGGACAGGCCTTTGTCTAAGCCTACACAACTTTGCTGCTCTGCCTTTTTGGCCCTGTGAGGATGATGGAGGCGATCTCTTCCTCGACTTGGAGGGCATGGCTTTGTTCAAAGACCCCTACTTCCTAAATTATCTCATTGGGATCAGCTTACGTGACGGAAGCTATTTGGAGTGGTGGTCTCACAGACTGGAAGATGAAGCACAAAGTTTCCAAAAGGTTCTGGACTATGTGTTCAATCGACGAAAGGAGTATCCAGATATGCATGTCTACTGCTATGGACACTACGAAGCTGGTGCCTTCCGACGTACTGCAAGGCGGTTGTCAGATGAATACCAAGCAATGACCGAGGAGCTCAATGGTCGGTCAAAATAGATGAGTCAGGTGTAGGCGGTTCGGTGAAGAAGGCATATATTATATACATGTATATCATTGTATATCAGTCCAAATCTAGTATTCCATAGATGTTTGACTACCTGGATAGTCCAACAGTCTTGCTTTGATCAGAACCCCCGACAAAAATGGATCCTGGATGGTGGGTGGATGGCATCAACACCATTGAATAATTGGTGATCTACCAGATACGGCGGCTTTTTGCAAGTGAAGCAAACTGAGTCTTCCGAGCTGGCTAGGAGTTTTTGGAGAAGCTTTTGGTGGACTTGTTGCCAGTGGTGAAAGGATCTATTGCCTTGGGTCTTCCGGGATACGGATTGAAGAACGTGGAGAAGATGTACCAGAGACTTTGGCAGGGATGAGCTCCTGACCCACACCCTAAGATCTAAGAGCCCCCATTCCACATCAAGTATCATCAAGTCGTCCAACAATTGATGCCGTATCAGGCATCATAAACGTACAGTTTTAATCTCAGCAAGGATGTTCAAAGTGTTTCTGCTACCTGTATTGTATATGACTGTTCATTTGCAAGTGTTCTTCCTGCCAAGCAATGGGATACCCTGAAGAAATTGTCGAAAGGTCTGCTCAAAGCAGAAGTGAATGCGGGCAGTCATGTGTGGTTCCTTTTAAAGCATCCATAGCTTAGGGATGCTTAGGGTATCCTGCAGTTTTGAACTGGTTTTTGCATCATTCTTTTGGTTTAAAGTTCAAACATGCATGCCAAAATGCGTTGGACAGGTGAACGCCAAGAAACAATTGGTAGAGGCGTAACGGCGAAAGGAATTGCCAAAGAAGTGAGTTCGTCACCAAGGGTCACTTGATGAAATCACGCACTCAGAGTCACGAACTGATCCTGGTCATTGAGGGTTCTGAGTTCTGTTTCTGCAGTTTTGCCAAGAACTGCATCGAGTCAGGGTAAGCAGGGTAAGCTCTTGTATATAAGCCATCAAACTCCAATCGAAAGAAGAACGAGCAGGATACAAATGAGACATAATGAGACTAACAAAAGTACAACAGCAGAGAACAGCACGGTTGTACAAACAGAATCACCTTTTGCTTCCCCTATTTCGCACCCATCCCGATCGGCCCCGCAAGCGTTTTTTTTAGGAAACCGCGGAGCACGGACGTGAGCATAGCTGTGGACTCCATGGTGGCATATGCGAATCTGGGCAAGAAGCTGGGTGAGATGCCCTGGCAAAACCACCAACCAGCCGTAGTCTGTGTAAGTCCGTGTACGTGAAACGTCTCACAGCCAACAATGAACAACGTCATGCAAGAAGTCAAAGAAATCAAATGAATGATGGTGGTTGACAGGTGAATGATAGTTAACCGGTTTTCACCCGGTTTTTGCCCAAGGAAATGGACCGAAGAACGCGAGCATGGGCATCCGCATCCCGAGCTGTTGCGCAGCCCGGATGCGCTTGTGGGAATTCTTTGGGTGGATTTTACTTGGGTCCTTCGTTATGAGTGGTCAGCGACACAAGGTATTTATATATGGTGTAAGCCATACTATCTATGGGTATCATATGGTATCAGTGGGTATCAATTAAAACGAGTCATTCATACACGGAGAGTTAAGCTCTTTGCGGAGAGTCTCCATATTGAATTTGCCCTCCCATTCTTGGAATGCCTAGACCTTGAACCACACTTTCGATTTCAAGGGCATTTTTCCATGCGTATTCTCTTTTCAACGAGCTAGAGATGAAAGAAGAGCCAACTGACTGGATCCCTCATGATCAGGGCGAATGTTAGAATCTTTGCAGGATGGCAAGTGTGTGTTTTGTGATGGGGAACAAGAGGGCGTTGCTTGGTAGGTCAAAACAGTGCTTGGTGTGTCAAACATGTCAAACGCACCCTTCAACATCCTTATTTCAACCACATTCCTTGGTTCAGGGTGTACTCATGTACATAGATCAAGGCCAACGACTTAAGACTGAATCCTGCAAGTCGTTCCACTCAGCATGTTATACCCATTTTTCTTTGCCCTGTGCAACCGCGCACAGATTGGTGCCGCGCAACCCTGAAAACATGGACGTCGATTCTTCAGACCCCGCTGCACTCAAGTGCACGCGCACGCAACCAGGGCACATCGCCGAGTACAACCGCGCAGACTGCGAATCGACCCTGCACCTCCTGACCTGGCCGCCCGGCGGGTGCCATTTCGCCTTGAGGTGAGGGATTCCATCCCGGCATCACTTAGGAAAGCAGGTGATATTAATGGTAACATTTTACCAATGTGAGTGTGCACACTTACTGCTGGTACTAGTACTTAGTACCCTCGAAATCAGTCTATGCAAATTTCTGTTTTGTTACTCATCCCCTGGATTAGCGTTACCCTCGGCGAATTTTGCGGAACAAACGATGAGTTGGAAAGGGTGAAGACTTTGGCTACCCGGAGTCAGTCTACTTCATCAGTATATTTAAGGGGCTACCGCCCGGGGCTGCCGACCCCATAGCGGCCGCGGGCGGAGGGAAGAGCGCGGGGGTTCGGCGACCGCGCCACACCTGGCTTTACCTCAACTATTTCCAGGTTCTGGGTTTAGCAGGTACTACTTGGCGTTGTTCTGCCGTTCAACCTCAACCGTTTCTGACAACTACCTTTTTTCACGAAAGGTAGCCCTTTAGGGGATACCTTGAGTTTGTCTTGCGAAGCAAGTGTGGGCTCCTCCAGATCTAATAATTTATAGTTCAATTCAACCCCTCCTTAGAATTGATTTTTCACTACAGACCCCGCCCTTGGAATTGATTTTTCAATGCAGACCCCCCCTCGGTATCATCCCGAAGTGGACTATCGCTTCATCGCGAAGTGGATCACCTCGATGGTTATTTAACATGTATGTTGACCGTGAGTTAACAAACGCTGAGACCCCGAAGTGGATCATCGCCTCATCCCGAAGTGGATCGCCTCGATGGTTATTTGGCGTGTACGTGGACCGTGAGTTAACAAACGCTCGGATCCCGAAGTGGATCATCGCTTCATCCCGAAGTGGATCACCTTGATGGTTCTTTGGTGTGTACGTGGACCGTGAGTTAACAAACGCTCGGACCCCGAAGTGGATCATCGCTTCATCCCGAAGTGGATCACCTCGATGGTTATTTGGCGTGTACGTGGACCGTGAGTTAACAAAAGCTCGGATGGAACATCGTTTCATCCCGAAGTGGATCACCTTGATGGTTCTTTGGTGTGTACAGACGCTCGAATCTGGATGCGCTCCTATTGTGCATGGGATACCTTCCACCCGTTACCCACCAACGTTTGCACCAAACCATATTTTCTACTGACGCCGCTGCGCGCGTGGCCACGCTTCAATCCATCATATTGCCCTTACATCTTTATCCCAAAGTGGATCACCCCTGTTTTGCGAGCACATCAGCCACGCGGACCGTGAGTCGACCAAGTCTCATGTGTGGCTCACACCTCCCACCGTATACACCCGACCGCTTGGCACGAATATTGAACTTCCTATTCTGCGCCAGGACTCAGACCACCACTTCCCGACCTGGACGACAACGTAGGCACAACAAATTTTTGGGACGCAAGCCGCCAGCTGGTGCATGTGTGGAGTGCTCTTTTTGCCGAATCTTGCACGGTCGTTATCCTGCGCGCCGGGCGTCGGCAGTAGCGCTGCTTGGGCTCGAAGTCGGCCGCGATGTGCCCTGCATGGAGGTCATGCTTGACATGACGCTGGATGAGCTGATCCAGGTGCAGGCATGCTATGGTGGCATCAGGGCAACAAGCCACACACAGACACACACACATATGCGTAATTAACCACCTTTTTGTCAGGTTCTACTCGGCGTCTACAGCCTGCTTTGTTTGCTTGTGTCCACGAGACTGACATAGTGCGTGTACAATCCACGACAAGTAGTTCCCGGGCAAGCCGGCGGCGGAAGTTTCCTATAAGAACAAACTGACCTATAAGAGTGTCCCGGTTCTTTCCACCATGCGTGTCCCTCGTGTCCCTCAGTCGGACGCATGAGTGATGAGTGATGAGTGAAGCATAGCTCTAGCTCTAGCTCCACTAAAGCTAACTGGAGCTAGACGTTATAACTGGAGCTAGCTTGTCTAGACACGAAGCCAATTAGCTCAAATTTGTCAACCTCTCAGAGCACGTGTTTTGAGGTCTCCAGAAAGTAATCGAAATGACCACTTTTGAGTAAGCAATAAAATTTGTCAACCTCTCAAGAGGGCCGGGTGGTCGGGAGACATGACTCAGCTGCAAGGGCGCCAGAGCAGCCGCGAGAGATGACTCAGCCGCGTACTAAAGTTGTACTACCGAGTCGCCAGTTCTCAGCTTCCAGCTCCACAGATTGCCCTGCGTACTACAGTTGCACTGCAAAGTCGCCAGTTCTCATCTTCCAGCTCCCCAGATACTCCGCGTACTATCGCGTACTAAAGTTGTACTACAAAATCGCCAGTTCTCATCTTCCAGCTCCCCAGATACTCCGCGTACCAACGTTGTACGACAGAGTCGCCAGTTCTCAGCTTCCAGCTCCACAGATTGCTCCGCGTACTAAAGTTGTACTAGAAAGTCGCCAGTTCTCATCTTCCAGCTCCAGATTGCTCCGCGTACTAAAGTTGCGCTATAAAGTCGCCAGTTCTCATCTTCCAGCTCCCCAGATACTCCGCGTACTAAAGTTGTACTACAAAGTCGCGAGTTCTCAGCTTCCAGCTCCCCAGATACTCCGCCTACTAAAGTTGTACTACAAAGTCGCCAGTTCTCATCTTCCAGATCGCCAGATACTCCGCATACTACAGTTGTACTACAAAGTTCCCAGTTTCGCCGGTTCTCATCTTCCAGCTCCCCAGATACTCCGCGTACTAGAGTTGTACTACAAAGTCGCCAGTTCTCAGCTTCCAGCTCCGCAGATTGCTCCGTGTACTAAAGTTGTACTAGAAAGTCGCCAGTTCTTATCTTCCAGCTCGACAGATTGCTCCGCGCACTATAAAGTTGCACTACAAATTTGCCAGTTCTCATCTTCCAGCTCCCCAGATACTCCGCGTACTAAAGTTGCACTACAAAGTCGCCAGTTCTCATCTTCCAGCTCCCCAGATACTCCGCATACTAAAGTTGTACTACAAAGTCGCCAGTTCTCATCTTCCAGCTCCCCAGATACTCCGCGTACTAAAGTTGCACTACAAAGTCGCCAGTTCTCAGCTTCCAGCTCCAAAGATTGCTCCGCGTACTAATGTACTACAAAGTCGCCAGTTCTCATCTTCCAGCTCGCCAGATACTCCGCATACTAAAGTTGTACTACAAAGTCGCCAGTTCTCATCTTCCATTCCGCGTACTAAAGTTGTACTACAAAGTCGCCAGTTCTCAGCTTCCAGCTCCACAGATGCTGTGCCTGTCACGAAATCTGCAAAGTGCTGCGCCTGCTACGAAATCTGCACATGGAGGTTCACAAAGTGCTGCACCTGCCACGAAATCTGCGCATGGAGGTTCACAAGGTGCTGGGCCTGCCACGAATTCGGCACATGGAGGTTCACAAAGTGCTGCGCCTGCCACGAAAGCTGCGCCTCGAGGTTCACAAAGTGCTGCACCTGCCACGAATTCTGCACATGGAGGTTCAAAAAGTGCTGCGCCTGCCACGAAATCTACACATATAGAGGTTCACAAAGTGCTGCGCCTGCCACGAAATCTGCACATGGAGGTTCACAAAGCGCTGCGCCTGCCACGAAATCTGCACTTCAAGAAACAAACCAACGGAGGGACGATTCCGAGCATGACCCGAGACCGTCTCGCACGTCTTTGATAGCCTCCGCCTCTCTCAAATCACTTTCACACAGAGTAAGTCAAGATCAAAGCTTCCTCCATTACCACCACCATATCGAGGGGTGCCACAAGGTTGTTTTAGCTCGTCGGGGCTTACCAGCCTCACACTCCCAAGCGCAGATGATTTTTTTGGGTCTTCGGCGTGTGAAAACTGCAGACACCTTTCCCAGGTCGATCTTTCTGCCACAGTGATCAAGGTCATCAATGAACATGCATTCTCGCAGTGTAAGGAGCTAACAAACATTCGGCTCCCAAGCACGTTGCGGGAAATTCACACGGAAGATTTCGCTTATTGTGAAGTCCTCCAAGAGGCCTGCGCTCCGGTATATCGCCCTTGGGGCTTTTACCAGCTGTAGTCAGCTCATACGCTTCGTTCTGCAGCATGGTAAAAGAACCACTAGGTCCACAAAGTGCTGCGCCTGCCACGAAACCTGCACATCGAGGTTCACAAAGTGCTGTGCCTGCCACGAAATCTGCACATGGAGGTTCACAAAGTGCTGCACCTGCCACGAAATCTGCACATGGAGGTTCACAAGGTGCTGTGCCTGCCACGAAATCTGCACATGGAGGTTCACAAAGTGCTGCGTCTGCTGCGAAATCTGCGCATGGAGGTTCACAAAGCGCTGTGCCTGCCACGAAATCTGCAGATGGAGGTCCGCAAAGTGCTGCGCCTGCCACGAAATCTGCACATCGAGGTTCACAAAGTGCTGTGCCTGCCACGAAATCTGCACACAGAGGTTCACAAAGTGCTGCACCTGCCACGAAATCTGCACATGGAGGTTCACAAAGTGCTGCGCCTGCCGCGAAATCTGCGCATGGAGGTTCACAAAGCGCTGTGCCTGCCACGAAATCTGCACATGGAGGTTCACAAGGTGCTGTGCCTGCCACGAAATCTGCACATGGAGGTTCACAAAGTGCCGCGCCTGCCACGTAAACTGGAGCTAGAGCTATTGAAACTAGAGCTAACTGGAGCTAGAGCTCTTGAAACTAGAGCTAACTGGAGCTAGAGCTCTTGAAACTAGAGCTTCCTGGAGCTAGAGCTCTTGCAACTAGAGCTAACTGGAGCTAGAGCTCTTGAAACTAGAGCTACCTGGAGCTAGAGCTCTTGCAACTAGAGCTAACTGGAGCTAGAGCTCTTGAAACTAGAGCCAACTGGATGATGAGTGGTGTATGATGAGTGGTGTATGATGAGTGGTGTATGATGAGTGGTGTCTGATGAGTGGTGTATGATGAGTGGTGTATGATGAGTGGTGTCTATGAGTTGCGTATGGTGAGTGGTGTCTATGAGTGGTGTATGATGAGTGGTGTATGATGAGTGGTGTATGATAAGTGGTGTATGATGAGTGGTGTATGATGAGTGGTGTATGATGAGCGGTGTATGAACAGTTCTTGAATGTCCGTAACACAGAAGTTTCGTTCACTAAACTTCCTTTGATAATAGTCTCCCCTGCTGAATATCTTTCATAGCATCTTGGAGCTTCCAAAGGTGATAATTTGTGCGACAAAGGTGAAGGACCATATGTGCGGTGGACACTGCTGGATTGTCCTGCTTTGGTCGAGATCGAGGGCGCGGTCTTAAAGGGCATGTACGCCCCCATGCAGGCGGTAGGCGATGTGTTGCCGGACCACTTCGCCTTCCCACGCAACGTCATCGTGCGATGTTTTTCTTTTTGGCTTTAAGCTTTTCTTTCGGTCGCTCATTTTCTTCTCCAGCTACACACTAGACTTTTTTCTCTTCAACCTGGGCCTCACGACAGCGATCGCATTTCATACAGGTGAACAGAAGGCTGGGATCCTACTTTTTAGATGATGGACGGCAAAGCTTCCTCCAAGAAACCAAACGAGTCACGGCATACCTCTCTTACCTACTAGTCCAGCGCTTGTTACTAGTTACTCCTTCTTCCTGCAAAAACGGCATGTCGAGGTGCTTCCGGAGTTTTTCTTTCAGTTGGAAGAAACTCGACAAGCCAAGTATCGGGAGGCCAGATCGGTGAAGTTGCTGTGAGGTGTGCTGGACTGGGGTCACACTGCTATAATGACTCTGACATACGCGTAGCTCCTATAACGTTTAGTTTAGCCCACCCTGGCGAGATCTTCGGCCCTGGAGCTGGATTCCACTTGGTTTCCAAGAGAAGATGTGTGAGGCCGAGTGCGTGAAAGTGGTCAGGGGTTGTCAAAACATGTCACAACATCGTCTCCATTGCAGAGTTCTTAGACGGGAATCATTTAGGACAAGCGCCTGCAATGTTTTGTGCTTATACCTCCACCATTCTACGCTTGTTTTTCATGTTGAATGGTTCCTTTGCGTCTGACACCTGATCTGACGTGCTGAAAACGATTGGTCCTTTTTCATGCATCCACCGCGGTCAACACTGCAGGTGGCGGGCAGCAGGGCCCAGAATATACCCCTTGTTCCTATAGCAGCGTCCTTGTTCGTTCAGTCTGTAAGGCCACAAAGAGAACCTCACATTGGAGGCAGTGCAGGCGGCGCACCGACCCTTGGAGACTGGCAGTCGAAGTCACGAACGATGAGAACTGCGTCGATGAGTTGAGCCTCTCTACGCAGGCTTCACAAGTGCCAGAGAGGAAAGCCTCCCAGCGCTTGTTAGTTGCAGAGCCGCTTGACAACGATGGTCTTTGACTCAAAAACCGGTTTGTCAAGCTTAACGCTCACCTGCTATGCAGCTACACCAACGTTGCTGAAGGATATGTGGCCATACATTTCTCACATGAATTACGAACACCAGCTACCCGTCACAAGGAACATTGCTAGGCAAATTTGTCACCTGCGAGGCCGAGCAGCCGCGGGGGTAGCAGGGATGACACGGGCCGGGCACTAGCCTTTTTTGGGTCCTCCGATCCTTCTTCGCCATGCACTTTCCGGCCATTTTTCCAGAACTCCGGTCACAAGACCCCCGCCTTCATAGGGTTTCTTGTGTGCAAGACTGCTTTTGACCGATCCCTTGGCAGGCCACGCTGCCCAACTCCGATGTTTCGGCTCAAAGCAGCTGAGCGGTACTCGTAGTTGTTTCGACGGCTGTGTCCCGCAGCCTTCGATCGGGAAGCTTTCCACGCAAGCGACAAGATTGCCAATGTCACTATCCCCGTCAACCCCCAAGGCATATTCTTCGGTTCAGGCACAACCCTGAACAACCTTTGGCATGTATCAAGTTGTTCCCAAAGCGACATCGCCCATGCCTCTATACGGTACCCATCGATCGAAGGCAGCGTCCCCTTTCACGGCTGCAACGTTGCAAGACGCAACCGCTTCAGCAACACGTGCGCAAAAGGGTGTTGACCACTCAAACCTTCAGGTCGTACTTCGGTCCGTGCAACGACCTGCCGCCCAGGTTCGCAAGATGTTGTTTTTCATCCCTTTTCTCGTTGACGATTCTCATCTAACTCTAGATTTATACATATATCTCTCACACTTTCACCTTTTCTCACGTTTGCCTTTGACTCGACTCCGCCAACCCCACAATGCCTGTTTTATACTATTTTTCTTTCCTTCTATTCTCCTCCTGCTGTCCTACCTTTCGTGTATCCCTCTTCTCAAGTTTCCTTCGAAGCATCAGAAGCAAATACAATGATGCAACAACCCAATCGTACTAGAATATTTTAGCCGTTGGCAGGTCTAGGCTCCGCCTGGTCCTGCGCGCGCCCCCTGGCGCCTTATCTTCCCTTTGGGGGGGGGGCAAGGGCGCTCGCGGGACCACTATGTGTTTTCCACACCAGGTCCAGGGGGTGCGCGGGGGGCAGTCGAACCCGGGACCCCAGCCTGGACACTACCTGTACCGCGAAAAAACCCTGACGGTCCCCACTCCTTTTCAAACATGACCAATGTCCAAAATTGTCGCAAAATTGTCAATTTTTCGCAAAGCGCTGGTTGATGGACAAGCCCCTATTATACCTATACCGAACTATTCTCAGGAACACGCCGTCCCCGTTCCGCTCACGCTCACGCTCTCGGTGCTAGAAGAGGGTCGGCGGAGTTTTCATTACCTTCCCTCTGGCCCTACATGAGAGTTGGTGTGGAGGAGAAGGAACCTGTAGAAAGCAATGACACTGGTATTAAGGTGGCCAACCCATGGAAGGAAGGAGTCCGATGGTTTTGCCTGAACATGTTTCAGCTATCATAAAGGCAGATGGCGCCACTATGTACCCTGCAACTCCCATTTGCTGGCTGAGCAAAGCTTGATGTGAATCAAAACAAACTTCAGAAAGTAAAGTAGGTTGGCATCCCTGAGTTTTCATTTGTGGCTGGTTGAAGATGTTGGTAGATGGGCGATTGAAGTGCCATCGTCACTAGTCACTAAGCCTTCCTGAGGCTCCGGAAGAGATGCGCCACCTGACGGGTCATTCAGGATGAAAGACAGTCTGAGGGGGGCGGGGCTGAATATGCTGTGTATCTTCAAGATGTGCACTGGGGCAAAAGAATGTCAATGCCATCCAGACCATTCACATCGAAAATAAGACTTTGATGACAGTCTTTGCCTGCCAGCACATGTGACATTGAAAAAAAATTGTCTGAGGTTCACTTATGTGACATGTCAAACTGTATAATTAATATAGAAGTTGAGCCAGCAATGTTGTTTTTTGTAAGAAGGTGTCCAGTTCGTTCATGCGGCAAGTGGCTGGATGCAAAACTCGTGCTTCCCCTGAGCCAATTTGGATAGACTAGACTAGACTCCTGTTTGTTTCTGCAGAGAAGTGCCAACTCCACCACCGCATGAAAGAACGAGTCTTCTCAGGCAAAGGCGGCGGCAAAGGTTCATGCAACTCCACCCAAGCAACCGAACGAAGTCAGAAAGAAAGGCAAGGCTGACGGACCATTCCAAGAGCGTCTTTTGGATGTTGGTGGAAGAGCCGAAAGAATGTTGCAGTTGGCTGGAATTAGTCTTTTTGTTTGAGAAGATTTCGAAGAATATGTATTGCTTTCCTATGTGCAGAACATTGAACAGACTATATACATGGCTTCCGACCTCTTGAACTTCCCGTCCTGTTTTCGCCAGCCCTTTTGAGCTTGCCATCCAGGACGGTGCTTTAAAGGCCAAGATTTGCCTCTGTGTGGAAGGAGTAGGAACGCTGCTTCTTGTGCAAGCAAAGCCGGTAAAGCGGCTAAAGCTCCAAAGACGAAGACATTGGTGAAGGCCACAGACGAAATGGGCAAAGCTTTGGCCTCTTGGCAAATCAGGGCTTCTAACAGGTCTCCTGTGAAAATGGCCACAGAAGGGAACGAGATGGAAACTTGAAACAAGCCCTGGATGTTATTCTAACACTTGAAGTGGTGCGCCCTTTGGCAGCTGGATAACAGTTGCCATCGCATCTGAACCCAACAGCAAATCAAGAAAGACTTCCCAGAGTTCAGTCGTTTCGTCTCGAATTGGTGTGGCTTCGCCGCGCCACTCTTCCATCTTGCCACTGCTCCGCAGCGCGCCACATAGCTCAGTCTGTTCGCGTCGACACGGAGCAAGGAAGACTTCCAGAAACTGGTCGATGAGCGCTGTGCACAGGACCGCTGTGCGGAGCGGTCCTCGCAGCTCGGCGTCGCGACGTCGCAGGCCATCCTGTGACCAAACGCCAGCAGTCTGGGAAGAAGAGATGTTCATATCGCGGGGGTAAGGTGCTTCAACGTTGTATGAATGGGACATTTGATGATATTTGACATGTTGATTTCATGTTGCACATATGCGCCATTACCTGGTTTATGAAGGATGATAGCAGCGCTTCGTCGAGGGTTGTAACTACTTAAATCATATTTTCTTGTGAGCCTTTGTGCATTTTTGTGCTCAACAATTGCCACTATATAGCACCCAAATCTGCCAAACTAGCGAAGTAGATCTCCATTCCTGGTCCTAATCGACGATGCCATAGGTCGCCCAAATTAACTTTTTCTGGTGGTCAGACGGCAACTGCGTGGCCCATGTGGCTCAAACTCCAAGAATCCATTGGAACCTGGGTCACCTAGGCACAGCCACAGCAAGGTACTGTACTGTACATTTTCATAACTGTTGTTGGACAGACGTCACTTGCATTTGGTTGCGGGGTCTTATCCTTCACCAGGCTATTGTGTAGGCATTCAATTGCACCTTGCTTGCTCAAGTTGTGTCTATAGAAGCCGCTTTTCACAGCAGGAGTAGCAGCAAATAGAGAGAACAGACAAAAGTGGGAACACACCAGAGCAAGACCTTCCAAGACTGGAACCTGTTCTTGCCATGGCCATGAGGGTCCCGGTGCGCCAAATGAGTGGCAAAGTGGTTGTTCTTGAAGTGATGCCTGAGATGACCATCCGGGAGTTTAAGCAGATGCTGAAAGTACGGCAGCCGAGTGAAGATAAGTTCACACGCAGTATCACCATGGTGGAAGTAGTCGTCGAGGGTTGTAAGCTTGAGGACGAGCAACAGACACTGACCGCTGCGGGGATTTCATCAGATTCAGTCGTTCATGTCCTTTTCACCGTTAACCCAGTAGTGTGCGTGAGCCGTGTGGAGTCTGGCTTCCATCAGGAAAGCTTGAGAGTGGTGACAGTACCAGAGACCGTCACTGAAATTGCCAGCTGTGCTTTCTCAAACTGCATTCACTTGGCGATGGTGACACTTCCCAGCTCTCTGAATTGTATTCGAGATCAGGCCTTCCATGGCTGCAGCTCTTTATCCAAAGTGAATATTCCTGACGCAGTGGCCGAGATAGGGGCAGGGGCCTTCTTTGGCTGTAGATCACTGACCACATTGGCAATTCCTAACTCCGTTGTTCTCATTGGTGATGCAGCCTTTAGAGGCTGCAGCGCCTTGGCAAGCTTGACAATCTCCAACTACATAAATACAATTGGGGTCAATGTGTTCTTTGGCTGCAGATCTCTTAAAACGTTGACACTACCTGATTCAGTGCGAGAGATTGAGGGCAACGCCTTTTGCGGCTGCAGTTCCTTGATAAGCTTGGTAATCCCCAACTCAGTCGTCAATATTGGTGATGGCGCCTTTTTTGGCTGCAGTTCTCTAAGCTGCTTGACGATCCCCAACACGGTCGCTTCAATCGGAAGGAAATCCTTTGAGTTTTGCAGCTCATTGACCAAGGTAGCAATACCTGACTCAGTGACACAGATAGGACCTAGAGCATTCAGCGGCTGCTACTCTTTGGCAAGTTTGTGCATCTCCAAGAGACTTTCTCACATTGAAGACTATGCATTTGGCTTCACCTCTTTGACACAGGTGACCATTCCTGACTCTGTGACATACATTGGTCCCAGCGCCTTCAGGGACTGCAGTTCCTTGAGGGAGGTGAAAATTCCGGACTCTGTGACTTTGATCGGGGAGTCAGCCTTCCGCGATTGCTGCGCGTTGGAAAGCTTGAGGATCCCAAGTTCTTTGACCCAGATAGCAAACCATGTCTTCAGCGATTGCGGTCTTTTGATGAACCTTACCATCCCAGGATCAGTGACCATGATCGGAGAAGGCGCCTTCATGGGCTGCAAGTCGCTGGTGACTTTAAAGATTCCGAACTCTGTGACTTACATTGGTGAAGATGCCTTCAAAAACTGTAGCTCCTTGACGACATTGACATTACCAGACTCAGTGACTTTCTTTGAGGACTCTTCGGTCTTCGGCATGTCGCAGAAGACACACACCAAGCTTTGGCGAAGTGCCTTTGAAGGTTGTCCCTGTCAGCTGCCAGGTGCAAAAGACTTCGAGCCGTTTCATAGAAAACACAATCGCATTTTTGAAGGGGTCGCCAATGGATAGGCACTTAGTACCCACTGCTTGTTGGATGCACGTTGCAACACCCTAATAAGTTCCACACAAAGTCGAATTCATATCATGTTATATTTTTTCTATGAGCCTCTAAATTCTTTTGGCCACCGAGGCACACTTTCCCAACCGAGATGAGCGTGGCCTGCAAGTAGCACAGACGAGTGCGGCCGATTGCGAGCAATTAGAGTTGTTGGTTCCAGCACACGACAGTCATGTTGGTGCTGATTTGTTCTCTGCAGCTGGGGACTGTACAGGGGGCCGTGCCAGAGACGCTGAACATCTGATCTGGGGTCAAAATTCGGAGCGAAGAGAGGGCTGAAATCGAGTGGGACCCATCGGGCCTCCGGGTTCGATCAGGACTGGCAGTACTGGAGGATTGGAAGAACGACTGAGCGACTGTAAAGCACGGTGTGAAGAGCAGAAGATGTGAGCCGCCTTCAATCTTCAGAATTAGCAAGAACCCAGGGAAGCAATGGGTCCCCCCAGAAGCGATGAGGGACAAGAAAGTGATGCCTCCCTTCCCAGCTGAGGTTTTGTTGGTTGTCCAAAACACTCCCAAACTGTGAGAAGTGACGGGGACCACGCTGCCATCTATGTCATGGCAGATTGAATAAGGAATTTTGACTGCCACGCTGCCACACTTATGTTTCTGAAAGGTACTGGTGACACAAGGAGACACTGACACATCATTGTCACTGCTGACAGTCAAGCAATAGTTTGCTGCCTCAGCAATTCAGGGATTAGCAGAAGCCCAAGATTCGGTAGGCTTTGTGATAATTTCCCCCTTTTGAAGCGATGCGACTTGGCGTTGGCTTGGCCGGTCAGTTCATTGCTAGTTCTAAGTTGTTCCATGCCAGGTGATCGCCGAGCTAATGCCTCGCAGGGGCCATAACCTTGAAACCTGTGGTTCTTTGTGCCTTAGCCGATAGGCTAGTTACATGAGGGAAAGTAGGGCTTTCGTGCTTCAGGATTGAACACCATCGCAGAGTTTCTTCTTGATCAAAGCCAACAAACCTTGATCAATCAATATGCTCAAGGCGTATGAATCTACTAATCTATGAAATTGGAGATGGCAGAATGTGGGAACCAATTGGGTCGCTGCAGAAGCCTTTTAATTAATACGTACTGTTGTCCTCAAGATGTTTAGATATGCCACTTTCAGGGTTGTTCCACAATGACCCTTTCGACAGGAACAAATCCTTTCTTCTTTCTTGCTGGACGAGGACAGATAATTTTAGACGACACATCCTCACTGGTCAACCCACTGACTAAGGTGTGTCAAAGCTCCGGCACTGCCCGTGAGCCGAGGTCTTTCATTCCTCGAAAGCTCAGCTGCTGACGCTGCTCAGAAGGCCAAGGACAGGTTGCCTTGGCGATGGGGTGGCGAGGTTGAACGGCTCTTTTTGTTTGAAGGGCACGAAAGCTGACAAAGAGAAACCTATTGGGCAATTTGTCCCTTACTTCCCAAATGATCTGGAAAGTAGTCTTTTGGAAGTCCTTTTGTTTCCCACTCGGACTTCTTACAGATTTCAAGAGAAGCCCAGGAAGTCAACAACAATTTTGTGTCCAACAAGCTTGCACAGTGACTCAGTGTGCGAGGTGATGCGAGGTGACAAACATGGAAACATGTATATATAAGATTGTATAAGTATGAGGAGACCACCAAACACCCCCTTCACACAAAAAGAACCTATCGACTCAAAGTTTCTCCATATTCCTCTGACTTTTACACACACTGGGAAGGTACTGAACTTGACAGTCCGCCTGGGGGTCAGGAGTGCCAAACCTTACGCCAGACCGCTGGAACTCTACAAAAGCAGTCACCGGGTCTACCGTGGGACTCGTCGTTCACCGAGGGACGGCCCGGGTCGCACGCGGGACGCGGCACGCGGGACGCGGTCCGGTCCACCGTGGGGTGAAGAACCCGGAGCGTACTTCGGTCGGGTGGTTTATTGGGGGGTGCCGGTGTCACAGGATGACAACCTGACCTTAGTTCTTATGGATGAATTGATGCCACTAGTATCCGTAGTATCCACATGTATCCACTTCCCGTAGTTCAGCTCCACAAATTCTGCATTCGAATGAGGACATCTGCAGGAATAAACCATAAATGGCAAAACCTTGGCCTCCTGACTGTATGTTACCTTCACCACGGTCATCCCGTTGCTGGTCATGTCTCGGCAGTGAGGCTTGAGCTATGTCAAGGGCGAGTTCAAGATCTTGAGGCGCGGTGGAAGAGACATGTTTCAGGTTACATATGCTTGATTGTTCTTAAGATAAGATGGACATTTTAGGGCACCGACAACACTGTGGAAGACAAGTATCAACAAAGATGTAGCCGCTGTGTACTTCTCAAATTGGATGGTCCACACCAGTTCAAAGTAGACCGCGGCTATGCAGTTGTGGCTTTGTGGCTTTCTGCACAGCCCTTGTGGTCGAGCCGTGGGCGATCGACCGCGCCCAGGTCGCGGCGGAAAGCTGCTCGAAGTACCTCAGCGAGACATCATTGCAGCCACTCGGAGGAAAGGAGCTGAGAGGGTTGAGGGGGGCAGCTGCGGTAGTTATGTATTTGTTGGGGAACCAAGAGTTT